CCCCCCCCCCCCCCCCCCCCGGTTCCACAGCAGGCGGACACGCCCAGAGACGCCGCCGCGGGGCCGACGGCGCGGGGCGCCTCCCTCTGCGCGGGGCGGCGGAGCCGCAGCGGGAGGAGCCGATTTCCGGCTCCCAGGCTCGGCGGGTGTAGCCGCCTCTGCCCGGGAGCGGGGGGGTCCGGTCTCCCAGAGCGGCCCCGGGGAGGCCCACCTAGGCGCCCCCTCGCGGCCACGCTGCAGCCGCCACCGACACCGGCCCCCGGACGCCTGGGGACCGCAGCCCGCCTCCGTCCCACGCGAGGGGGAGGGGAATCTCGGCCAATGAGACAGCGCGCGTCCTGTGACGTCAGCAGTAGCTGGGGGGGCGTTGGCCGAGAGCGGAGCGCCGCCGGGCGTGCGGCGTCCGGCCGGGGTGGGGGGCGGGGCGCCGAGCGGGACCGAGCCCGGAGTCGCAGGGTCGCCGCCGGGCGGGGGCTCGGACCGCGGCTGCGGACTGTGACCCTCCCGGAAAGCTGAACGGGGTTCAGGTGGCGATGGGAGGTGAGGGTGGGGGTACCCGGAAGGCCACCGGCCGGCTGGGGGGCGCCGGGGGTGGGGGGCCGGCCGGGCGGGCCCCGGGAGCCGTCCGCCCGCCGCCGTCCGTGGGGGGGCGGGGGGGCCTTCGTCAGCGACTCGTCGGGCCCGGGGGGTTCCGCGGCCTCCTAGAAGGCGGGCCCGACCGAGCTTGGAGCCCCCCGCCCCTTCCCAGTGCACGTGAGGGCCGGCTGTGAGCCAGGCCCCGCGGCAGACGACACGCTGCGGCCCCGGGACGGGCCTTCCAGGCCGCGCTCGAACCTGCTCGAACGTGCTCGAACGACCCTGGTACCCAGACTCCGCTCTGAAGGCGACCGTGGTGCTGAACGCAGTGAGATTAGACGTGGCCCTAAAAGAAGGCATCCCCCCCTTTTAAGTTTCCGCTTTGTTGAGGTACAGTCAACATACACAGTCGTAAGATGAAGTGTACGTTGCAGTGATTTGATACACGTGTCCGTGGAAGGTTCCCCATCTAGTTAATTAACATGTTCATCTCCTCCCTCCCTCCCTGCTTCCTTCCTTCCTTCCTTCTTTTTTCTTTTCTTTTCTCTTTTCTTTTCTTTCCTTCCATTTCTCTTCCTTCCTTCCTTTCTTCTCTTTTCTTCTTTCTTCTTTCTTTTCTTTCTTTCTTCTTCCTTCCTTCCTTTCTTTCTTTCATGTGAGAACATTTACAGTCTCCTCTCTTAGCAAATTTTGATTATACAATACGGTGTTTTCAACTGTAGTCACCATGTTTTATATGAGGTCCTCAGAACTTACTTACAGATTATTTTACGGCTGAAAGTTTATACCCCTTCACCAACCTCTCCCTATTACCCACACACCCCAGTCCCTGGAAACCACTTTCTACTGTCTGTTTCTATGAGTTTGACTTTTTTTTTTTTTTTTTAACATTCCACGTACAGGGGCACCTGGGTGGTTCAGTGGTTGAGCATCTGACTCTTGATTTTTGGCTCAGGTCATGATCCCAGGGTTGTGGGAGTGAGCCCTGCATGAGGCTCTGTGGGCTTAGGAGTCTCTCTCCCTCCCTCTCCCCCTCTCCCTCACTCACGTGCTCTCTCTAAATAAAAAAAATTTAAAATTAGATTCCACAGATAAGTAATATCATGCAGTATGTGTTTTTTGCTGTCTAGCTTTTCACTAAGGAGTGTATACTTATACACTCCTTGGCATCCTGGCCATATCCTGAAAACTGCCCTTCCCTAGAGCTCAGGACTGAGGCCTCGGGGCCATGTCTGCTCGCCCCTGGCTCGTATCTACCTCCTCCACCCCAGTGTGTTCTTTCCCCTGTGGTCAGATCAGAGGATTCACCTAGGAAGAATGGGGCCTGTGTTTGACCCTCACGCCTACCCTGGGCTGCAATCTCTGGAAAGAGTAAGAGGGGTACAGTGTCAGGGTTCAAGGGATTTGGGGGCTGGCCAAGGGAAAACATACAACCACGAGAGGCAGCAACACACAGGTTTTAGCAAGATTGTGCTTGAACGAGATTATACTCCAGGGGAAGTCTCCAACAGCATGAGACCATAAGAAGTTTAAAGTGAGCTGAATGAGCCACCATCCAGAAGAGGGAAGGATATGGGACTCAGGGGGCTTACGTGTCTATCTAGTGTGGCTCGGCAGTATGGGGGGGAGCGTCTGGGTCAAAGAGCAGCTTGGGATCTTCTAACCGTCAGGCTCTTTTTTTTTTTTTTATTTCTAGGAGAGCGAGAGAGACAGCATGAGCAGGGGAGGGTCAGAGAGAGAGGGAGTCACAGACTGAAACAGGCTCCAGGCTCTGAGCTGGCAGTCAGCACAGAGCCCGACGCGGGGCTCGAACCCACGAACCGCGAGATCATGAACCAAGCGAAAGTCGGACGCGTAACCGACTAAGCCACCCAGGCGCCCCCAGGCTCTATCTTATCTCTGGCTCACAGATATGGGGTGAGCTGTGCCTTGCAAAGTATGCAAAGCAGACAGGCTCTCCATGGCTAAAATTCTGCTTGAGTTACTTTTAAAATAAGTGGACGTGTAAAAGTTTGAGTTTGGCACTGGTGGGCTATTGGGGTAAGGGGTCTCAGCCCACAGGGAAACAATGAACGATCTAGGGACCAATGCAGGGAGGCCATCTTTTGCTCATTTAAGGAACACATGGACGGAAGGAGGACAGAAAGGGCTGCTGACGGCCTTCCCTCTGCATCTGACCTTGTCTCAGGATCGTTTCAAAGAGCAAATGAGGGCGTCTCGTGGCAGGGATTTTCTACCCTTGGAGGTGTCCTAAGCCTGCCATTCAAGGTCCCTTAAGATCTGGCCCCTGCTGGCTCCTTCACCGGCCACTAAGTCGTAATGGCGCCGTGAGGAGATCGTCTCCTTAGAATACAGCTTTCCTCACGTCCTAATCCCACTCAAAAGCCATGGTGGCTCCCTATTTTCTGCCTATTTTCCACTTTGTCCCACAGATTGGGTGGCTTAAAACGACAGGAATTTATCGTATTACAGTTCTGGAGGTCCAAAGTCAAGGTGTCACAGGATTCTCTCTCTGGAGGCGCTAGGAGAGGAATCCTTCCTTGTTGCTTCCGACTTCTGATATTGGCTGACATTCCATGAGTTCCTTGGCTTGTAGAAGAATCTCTGTCTCCAGCATCACGTGTTGTCTTCTCCCTACGTGTCTCCTACTGTCCGTGCCTCTCTCTCTTCCTGCAGGGACCTCAGTCGTATTGGATTAGGGCCCACCCTTATGACCTCATTGTAACCTGATCACATCCGCAAAGATCGTATTTCCACGTGAGGTCACACTCACAGGTATGGGGGTTAGGACTTCAGCACGGCTTTGTGAGGGACATAGTTCAGCCCATAATACCAGGCAAGTAGCTTCCTGTTAAGTGAATGTGATAGATGTGTAGGAGCTTCCACAGACCTTTCTTAGGAAACAGCATGTGGGCTCCCTGTGCCTTTTCACTGTCTCTTCCTCGATCCTGTTGCCCAGAACCGGAATTCTGATGTTGAAGCCATAGGAGACGAAGCAACAACACGGAGGAGCCTGCGTTCTTCACCGCCCTGGAGACCAACTTGGACTTTTACTTTATTTTTTTTTTTATTTTTAATTTTAATATTTTTTATTTATTTCTAGGAGAGAGAGAGACAGCGTGAGCAGGGGAGGGTCAGAGAGAGAGGGAGTCACGGACTCTGAAACAGGCTCCAGGCTCTGAGCGGGCAGTCAGCACAGAGCCCGACGCGGGGCTCGAACCCATGAACCGCGAGGTCGTGACCTGAGCGAAAGTCGGACGCTTAACCGACTAAGCCACCCAGGCGCCCCTGGACTTTTACTTTAAAGAGAAATAAATTTTAGTGTTCACTTTGGTATGCTAAAAATCAGAACTAAATTGGAAACCATGCAAATATTAGCATGGTCCCTGGGCCAAGATGACATGCAAATGCATGAAGCGTTCCATATTTTTATGGCTAGATCTAGAGTGTATAATGCTAAGTGAAATTAGAGCCAGTTAGAGAAAGACAGATACCGTATGATTTCACTCATGTGGAACAAATTTAAGAACAAAACAATGAACAAAGGGGGTGGGTGGGAAGAGAGATACACCAAAAAACCCCAGAACCTTACCTGTAGAGAACAAACGTGTGGTTACCACGGGGGGGGGGGGGGGGGGGGGAGCTGGCGGTCACAGGTGGTGAGGGTTAAGGAGGGCACCTTCAGTGACGAGCGATGGATGGAAGTGCTGAATCCTTAGATTGCACACCTGACACTAATATAACACTATGTTAACTGCATTGGAATTAAAATTATTTTTTTTAATTTTTAAAAGTTTTTATTTCTGAGAGAGAGAGAGACAGCGTGAGCAGGGGAGGGTCAGAGAAAGGGAGACACAGAATCTGAAGCAGGTTCCAGGCTCTGAGCTGTCAGCACAGAGCCCGATGTGGGGCTCGAACCCACAAACTGTGAGATGACCTGAGCCAAAGTCGGACGCTTAACCGACTGAGACACCCAGGCGCCCCTAAAATAATTTTTTTTTTTAAAGAAAAGAAATTTCAAAGTGTATAAATCCCTCACTGTGGAGTTTCTACCCCATGCAGCAGAACCGAGTTCCCACGAAGACCCTTTGTGCTGTCCTGGGCTTGGGACTTCTCCGTGGGGTTTGGTTTCCCCTTCGAGTTACCAAGGGCAAGTAGCAAAGTAACCTGGGGATTCCGTCACGTGCTCCCTTTCTCTGGGACACTCACCAGTGCCTAATCTCATTCTGCTTTTTTTCTCCTTTCCTCAATTCAGAGGGCCCCCTAAGGCAGGGAAAAAAATCATTCCCTTTCATTCATCCAAATCTGATTTCTGCCATAAACTGCCTGCCCTGAGTCCCTTAGGGCTTTGAGTTTTGACTCAAAGCCTTTCTCTCTCATCCTGTTGTCCCAAGGATGTAATCTGAAAGTCAGAAATCCAGAACAGACCTTTTTTGTGTTGCTGTACCCCACCTTTCTCTGGGGTTGTGAGCCCAGAATGTGATAGTTGATGCCCTATTAGGGGAAAGGTCACAAAGGCTCAGGAATGACCCAGAATGACATGTTGGCTAATTTATCAAATAGGGCCTTTCCACATGAGCATTCTCCTATGTGGTGTCAGAAAATGGCAATATGAGAAAATGTCTTTAAGAATCTTCCCCAAGTGAGCATGAGCCCCAGATGAACCCCACTTCTCTTTCTCTCTCTGCCTCTCTCTCACTTGTGCCTTCTCTCAAAAAAGATTCTTCCCCAAAAGAAGAGTTCTACATTCAAATAAGTTCGCAAAACAGAGCTTTTTACTAGGCAAATATGCATGTGAAGTAGATAGAGTGCAGTACAGTAAAACTGTGGTTTGTGAGCATAATTCGTTCCGGAAACAAGCTTGTAATCCAAAGCACTCACATATCAAAGCGAATTTCAGGCACCTTTGGCTCAGTTGTGATCCTACAACTTCGGCATCACATACTACTTGTGTTGCAAGACATCTCTCTTTCATCAGTTTGAAATTTATTAGAAGTGTTGGCTCGTCTTGAGACACATGCACAGAACACGTTACTCGTGATCCAAGGTTTTGCTGTATCTCCTCAATGTATTTTCCTTTTCAGAACCATTCAGAACACACCACAGCACACAAGAGTTCTAAGATCATCTCTACTAAGGTTATATGTGTGCGTTGTCCGGAGTAAACGTGAATTGGTACAAATGGTGGCCCTGGGGAGCCAGGGTGGGAAGTGGACTTCCTTTTCACTGTACAACTTTTGGTATTTGGGGCTTTTGCTATCTATGTGTACGTGTTACCCAGTGACCTATCACAGCCGCTGGCTCAGCAAATGAGCAGGTGAGCTCAGGCGCTGATTAACCGAACTGTCCCATCCTGGAGAACCCAGGAACCTGGACAAATAGCAAGCATAGCTCCCGGCTGGGTTTGCTGACCCTGTTGCTCACCAAGCTCGGATAAGCCTGTCACAAGAGAAGCCAATAACTCTAGAGACAAGGGTTTGGAAAAGAGAAAGGGAGACATTTATTTCAGCTGCTGGGCGCAGGGGGAGGTGCAAGACAGCAGGCAGAGATCACAAGTGATCAAGTGGGGGTGATCAAGAGCAAGTGATCACAGGTGGGGGTGGTAGGTGTGTGTTCAGCATGGGATCATGGCAGGGAAGGCGACGTGTGGGGTGTGGTCTTCTAGGCATTCCATTGCTAGCAAGGCTTTCCTGACATGGCAACTGGAATGTTCTAGGTGTTGCAAAACATCTTCTTCAATGCCTTGAGAAAGTGCAAGAAGAAATAAGAACAATGGGTTGCAGTTAGAGCATGAGTTAAGTGGTCCTGTCTATTTCTCGCCTTAACAGTTGGGGTTTATAGTTGAGCAAGAGGGGTTGCTAACACGTGTGTTAAAACAGATAAAATAAATGAGTGGGAGCTTAGATAAGCCCCAAACTGGATATCAGGTTGACATCACATTTAAGTGAACCCTCCTCGGGATTGATGGTCGCCGCTCTCTACTGAAGGTCATCACAAGAAACATCCCTCAGAAGCCCATCACTGAGCCTGATGTAAGAATGACATTGAGGATGCTATGAAATAGGAAGGCAAGAAAAACAAAAACAAATCTGATTTAACTGCCCCGGATATAGCACATGCTCTAAAAGCTCTAGTGTGTAGTCAGAGATGAGACTCATTGGCTTCGAGATGGAACTTCAAGAGGTCTCAGGCCAGAAGCCAGTTCTCTTGTTTTGGGCAAAGCGCTAGGCAGTGGAAATTCAAGAGTAAAACTCGGTCTCTATCTTCGAATGGCTCCTGGAGTGGGAAGTTGCTCTGTTTCTTATCAGAGACGCTTCTGGAAAGAGCTTCTCCTCCCCACTCCCTGCCATCCCCAGCTTCGTTACATGAGACGTAATGGGGCTGGGTTTGCTCAGAGAGCTGAACTGAGCTACCGTGTCAGCCTTGGAACTGTGAGCCTGGTAGGCCCTTCCAGGCACTTCTGGGAGAATTCCACATTCCAGATCACACGCTGCAGGCCTAGGAAACGTAGAGGGGCACCTGGGCTTACATAGCAGCAGATCCAAATTTGCCCTAGAAAAGCTTTATTGATCACCAGCCCTCAAATGAGTGAACAAACTATATATACGTTTTTTTGTGATCCTGATTCAGAGTCACACACACAGCATTTTGAAAATTCTAGCAATGGAGAAATCCTCATTTCTCAGGAGAGAAAGCATTCTGCTTTTGGAACATTCTGTTTTGTTTTAAAATTTTTATCTTGAAATAATTACAGGCTCTCAGGACGCTGTTAAAATTAGTACACGGGGCGCCTGGGTGGCTCAGTCGGTTAAGCGTCCAACTTTGGCTCAGGTCATGATCTCGTGGTTCGTGGGTTTGAGCCCCGCGTCGGGCTCTGTGCTGACAGCTCAGAGCCTGGAGCCTGTTTCAGAGCCTGTGTCTCCCTCTCTCTCTCTGCCCCTCCCCTGCTCACACTGTCTCTCTTTCTCTCAGAAATAAATAAAACGTTAAAAAATAAATAAATAAAATAAAATTAGTACAGAGAGTCCCGTGTACCCTTCACCTCTCTCCCCCCCGACTAGTGACATCTTATTTGGCTGTAGTACAATTTCAAAACCGGGAGACATTGAACTTGGCATGTTACTGTTCTAGACTATAGATAAGCCTTATTCAGTTTTCCATCCCTTTTTTTTAAAACCTGCATTCACTCCGTGTATGCAACTCATGTAGATCCTGTATAGAAATTCCTGTATGTAAGGAAAAGAACTCCCTCCTGCTCTCTTTGTATTCACATCCACCCATTTGTTAGGTGGGGAATGTTCTGTAAATGGGCTGGTACAGCATGCAGTCTTTATTTTAAATTAAATTTTTTTTTAATGTTTGTTTATTTTTGAGAGAGACAGACAGAGTGAGAGCAGGGGAGGGGCAGAAAGAGAGGGAGACAGAATCCCAAGCAAACTCCAGGCTCTGAGCTGTCAGAATCTGGACTGGATCACCTGGCGGAAAAACCAAGTGGCACTCAGAGATCTTGGAAGGCAAGACGTTTACTCAACACCAGTGGGCTCAGAGGAGATCATTCTCCAGAGGTCTGAGCTGTCAGCACAGAGTCTGACACAGGGCTTGAACTCACAAACCGCAAGATCATGACCTGAGCCGAAGTCTGATGCTTAACCAATTGAGCCACCCAGGCGCCCCTGTCGTCTTTATTTTAAATGTAACAGCTCAACTGATCTATATAAGTCACATACCATATAATTCATTCACTTACAGTGAATATATAATATATAAAGTATATACACTTAAAGTGTACATTTGTAATATATTAAAAGGGTTTCATAACCATCACCACAGTCAAGTTAGAACCTTTTTGTCACTCCAAAAAGAAACTTTCTACCAGTTAGCACCCACTCCTTATTTCTCCCAAACCCTCAGCTCCAAGCAACTACTGAGCACTGATCTGCTTTCTGTCTACAGAGATCTGCCTGTTTTGGACATTTCGTGCAAAAGGAATCATACGATATTTATAATCATGTCATATTTAGCCCTTTGTAACTGGCTTCTTGCACTGAGTAGGATGTCAGTCAGGCTCATGCACGCTGCAGTGGACATCAGTGCTTTATTCGTTTTTATTGCTGAAAAATATTCCATGGAATGGATATAGCACCTTTGTTTATCATTCGTCGGTAGTTTCAACTTTTCGGCTATTATGAAATGATTGAATTGATTGGCTATTTTATTAAGTGAATTGATTGGCTGTTATGAATTGATTGTTTCCACTTTGGGCTGTTAAGAACAATGTTACAAGGAACATTTACATATACGTTTTTGTGTGGAACAAACAAAAGTATGGGTCCTGTGGCTGTTTTACCTCTGCATCAACCTCATTCACTCCAGTAAATGCTTGTTGAGGATTAGTGTGTTCAAGGGGTACAGGCTGGTAAGTAAAAGCAAC